AGACTTATTAATTAATATATAGATTAGTAATTTATACTATATTAGTATTATTTAATTACTCCCTATTAAACTTAGTAATAAGAATTAAATATAATAATTTACGAAATAGGGCTATATAAAACTATTATAATAAAGGGGTTACATAATTATTTATAAATTTATACTTATTAACTTTCGTATTAAGTAAGGTTTTTAAGCAAATTCTATATTTATTAAATACTAATATAAGCTCTATTTTAAAGGGCTAGCTCCTTATAAAATCTTATAAATTTATTAAATTAATTATTAATTTTCTATTTTTTTTATATATATCCCTTAATTAGGAGTTTATTTTTATTAAGGGGTCTAGTTTTTTAAACCTAACTTTATTTTAATAAAGCTCGTAATAGTATTAATAATAATTATAATAGTCTTTAGCTTCTTAAAGTAATTTTTAAAAATATATTTAGTATTATTATAAATAAAATAAGTATTACTATTTTTAAGTTTTTAATATAGGACTTTAGGGATCGTTTTATAAGTAGAAGTACGACCTTAGTCTTATTTAGTATTATTAATATTTTTATTATTTCTATTATTTTTATTATTTTTATTTAAAGTTTAGTAAGTCTAGTTAAAAGCTTTAACTATATAATTTTTTATAAAAAGAGGCTATATTATATTAACTAGTTATATAACGTACTTAATATATTTTTTAAAAATAGCCGTATTATTTAAGTATTTTAATATAGCCTAATTATAAAAATATATAAATAGCTTATTATAAAAACGGCGTTTTTATTAAGATTTTAAAAGCTTATTAATATATATAAGCTTAGTAAATATAGAGCACTTCTAATAAATATTTTTAAATATAATTATAAATACGTTTAGTTTATAACTAGCGTCGTTTATAATAGTTAGGCTAATATAAACTAATTTAAACTTATAAAGTAGCTACTTAGCTATAGTAATCTCGTTAAAAGTTAATATTAAGTATATAAACTCTATAATACTATTTCTAATTTTATTAATAATATACTCTAAATAGTACTTATTAATATTATAATTAATATTCTCTAAGCGCTTTATAATATACTAAAGCTAATAATTAAACTTAAAGCTAGTATTATTATTAATAAAAATGGGTATATTAAGTATTTTCTAGGGGCTATAAGAGATAAAATAAGACGAAGTTAAAGTAGTTTTATAACTACCCTACGTTTTTAAATATATTAATTACTATTTTAAAATACTAAAAGTAGTAATATTTTAAATAGAGCTAGTTTAAGAGCCGTTCTCTAGTTACTTTAATTTCTTAATTATAGCCGTATTATTAATATAAGTTTAAATAAGGGCTTTTTTTATAATATAGAGCTTTATAATAATAATATACGTAAGGTTGAGGTTTTTATAAGTTATTATATATAAATACTTAATATTATTACTTAATTAGTTAATAATAAAAACTAGGACTTATTTTAATTAATACTAAGTAATATATATTTTTAGTTATTATTTAATCTACTTAAATAAGGTTTTTTTATTATTTTTAAAATATAACTCCTAAATAAAGTTAATATTAATATATTATTTAGTATTTTTTTTTAAAAAGGATATTATTATAAATATAAATAAGTAAAGTAAGCTAGTTAGCTATATTATTAAAATATATTAAATAATTAGCCTAGGTAATAAAGGGTAAAAAGCGCTTTATTAATTAATTAAATAGCGCGACTTTAGGGTTAATTATTAAAAACTTAGTACCTTTATTAAGGCTTATAACGCTTTATTAAGACTTATAAAAATAATAACTTTATTAAAAGCCGTTAGTATAAAAAGAGACTTAGCTACTTTAGTTATATTTTTTAATTATTATATTTAGTAAAGGGGGTATATATTTAGGGAGTATTAATTACGTTATTTATATATAATTAATTTAGTTAGTTATTACTTAGCTTTTTTATATACTTTTTTTAATAAAAGTAGCTAGTTAATATAATAAGTAGTTAATTAATTAAGATATTATCGTTCCGTTTTTAGAAAATAGTTAATTAAGTAATATTAAGTAGTATTATAAAAAAAAACTTAAAATAAGTTAGAACGTTACTATATTAGCTTAATTAACTAAAGACTTAATATAAAGAGAGAAAAAATAAAATAATAAGTAGAAGTTAGCGAGCTAGCCCTTTAGGCCTAGCGGTCTAGCTTATTATATAACTATTAGGAGCTTAGCCTCGTAGCCTAAGGCTAAGCTATAGGGCCTATAGGGCCCTAATGCCTATTGCTATGATACTAGCTAAAGAGGGTGCCTAGCTCGAGAGGGGTAAACTTATTAACGGGTATTTTTAAAGTAGGTTCTCGTCGAGGTAGTATTTTAACTAGCTAACCTCTTAACTAGTTATTTAACTAGCTATTTAAATAGTAGTTTATATATTAATAAGTTTATTTAGTAAATTTATTTAATAAATTTATTTAGTTTAAATAAAGAGTAGCTTTAAGTAATATTAAAAGCGATAAAGATAAAAAAAATCTTTACGAGCTTTAAATAATAAATATTAGCCTATTTAGTCCTTTTTTTTAAAAGCCTTTATGTTATTATTAAAGTTTAGAACCTTTATAATTAAAGAAGGCCGCTTCTAATTATTATAGCTAATTATAATAGCTAATTATTACGGCCGACTTTTACTATTAATCTTTTTAACTAGCGCTACTATAGGGTAGTTTACTTATCCTAAATTATATAGTAGTTTTTATATTAAAATTACTATATTATATTAAGTACGTATTTAGGGTATATTATGCGTATTATATAGTTAAAAAGTGTACTATATCGTGTGATTTCTCTTAAAAGCGTAATCCCGTTAAGGTCGATCTTTTGCGCCTATAAAGCCGGAAAAAAACCACCACATAGGTTTATGATGAATACTAGACGACCTTGCTTGCGTGAGGATTGTGTCGCCATGCCTCCGTCGGGCGGGACATGAGCCTAGTCGGCTATGAGAACCTCGGTTGCAGAGAAGGCCAGTTTTAAGCGAGTTCAAGAGAACAAAATGATGCTTTCTGGAGAACTCGTGGCTGAAATGACCTGTTCCATTTCATTGCTAGCTTAGGTGAATAAAAGACGGTGATTAGTATCATTCCGATGCGGGGGCATGCATCTCAGAGTTCCGGCTCCTGCCCCACGCTCTGCCAGGGCCGGCCGACCCCACATTAGCCTGGAGCAGCGGCACCTGTTCCGGCGAGATGTATCCAGGGCACCCTATCGGGACACCGTTGGCTCTTGACAATGGTAGACCACGGCAGTACAAGGTACGCTCCAATTTCAAACATGGTCCTTGAGAAATACGCGCCTCCCAGATCAATTACCTAGCAGTCATACACCACCGGGGGCGGAAATATTCACTTGCATACCTATGTGAATTCTCATCAAGGTCGTAAGATTTATATCAAAGATCATGCAGTAACATAACAGGGCCTGCAAGTTTCTAAAACGGTAGAAATTTATAGACTTTACCTCCCCGGCCACAGGTATTTGCTGTTCTTCTCGTTTTATGGTATTACCACTTATTGCTAACGACCGGTAGTAGTAGTCTGGGTCAACGAAAATTTTGTACAGATTTCATCGTGGACTTCGAACGTGAGTGATCACAGTTGAACGAGTACCATATGCTGAAAACTATCAGTCGATCGCTATGCCGTGCTTCGGTCTTGATGATCACCTGACGAGATTGTCTCAATGTTCAACTCTTGGCCACCATCAAGCAGACTTGGATTCATGACAAAGCCGAGACGGGGGAATTGCACACGATTCCCAGACTAAGATTCCGCATAAGTCAGACAACGACTTACCCGATACCTCCGACTTACTTCAAGGGCGCATTAGAAACCAACAATCCCACAGGCGCACCGGTAAGTGTAGGCACATCCCGACCCGAGACACAACTACCACCGTGTCTCGGGCCAGGCTGACTCGCAAGAAGGTTTGGCGCCGAGTCGATTGTGTAAGTAGAATAGACACCGATTTGGCACCGACTCGTCGTCGGCTCGGCTATCCGTACCGTTCTTTCGAACATACCCCTACCCAGCCTACTCAGAAAACTAGTCTCATCCTCAGGGTCACTTATGCTCAGCTCGAGCCACTGCGGCTCTTGGCCGCCGCTCAGCTAATCACCCCACACCCCACACCTCACACCTCACACCTCACACCTCACACCTCACACCTCACACCTCACCACCAAGTTGGAACCTATTATGAGTTAGCAGCCTCTGCGGCTGATGAAAGATAGCTTTTGAATTGCGCGCTGGTCTCAGTTGTATCGCTTCCCTTGTTACTCAACTCATTTTTTTCCCAGCTCCTCTACTTTTCCCTATTCTCTCAGTAGAATCATCTTTTTGTTTTGCGCACAGAGGAAGGGTGAAGATTCTATGTGTTGAACATGTTTCAAAAACCGTGCTTTATTCTGCTGGTATCATAGAATTCTTCCGCTTGCCCGGGGCACGATTTTTCCTGGCCCTTTTCGCCCTTCCTGATGTTTGTTCCCAAGTCTACTCCAAGACTGCGAGGGATTTGATGCGACAAATGAAAAGTAATGTAACAAAAGACTCTTTGAGGAGATGAGATGAGAAAAGAAAAATGAGTTACCAGTTAAACAATACATAAAAGTCTTGGTAAGACTCCTGAAACCCCGGTTGGGAATATATATAATATGACCATCATATATACAGGCTATCTATTCAGCCAGAGAAGTGAAATGTTTTTCGATCGGATCGGATAGTGAGGTTGGAGGGAGCGAAGAGTCAGAAAGAGAAAAAAAAAGAGGTCGACATTTTCGAAATACTGGCTGATTTGACTCTTGACTATCCAACTTCCGATGTCGTAAAGCGAAGGCATCATGCGCTTTGTTCCCCCAATTTTAGCTTTGTTTTTGACCTTCGGGATTAATCAACGCACACCCGTCACGTCCTTTCAGCCCAACCCATAATTGGGCGGCCGCAAACCCCGTACTGTCGGAACGCGCTTACGAGATGGTAAGCACCATGGGACCGGCCACAATGATGTCATCGGTGAGCGTGCCAGCCATCGGGGCGTTATTGGTGAGGGAGAGGTAGACGACTCCGCTGAGACCCTGGGGAACGACACAGCCAGTTTGGGGGTTGAAGGGAGTGAAGGCAGTTCCACCGGGCTGGATGCCACCAGTGGTGAACGCGCAAGCCTTGGCCTGGGGTGCGGCATCGGACTGGAGCATAATCGGAGCACCGACGGCGACGGCCTTGGGGTCGGCGGGGGCGGTCATTGCCAGCTTGGGGAAGGGCTGCAGAGCCAGGTTGGAGCCCTGGGGGCAGGAGACGATGAAGGGTGCGGCCAGAGAGAAGACGGCGCGGACACCAAGAGGGGCGTCGAAGGCCTGGGGAATGGCGATCTGCTTAGAGGCGGCACGGATGAAGGTCTGATGGCGAGCCTCGATGGTGAGGATGGAGCCAGCAGCGCCGAGGATGGCCTTGTCCTTGACGAGAGGAGCAGCGCCGAGGTAGGCAGAAACACCGACGTTCTCGAGTACACCGGCAGTTGCGACCATGCCAGCAGCGTTCGTGAAACCGAAGTTGTACTGGCAAGGCTGGACGGGCTGAGTGCCGGCCTGGGCAATAGCGGATTGCAGGAAAGACACGTGAGACAGCTCAGTAGCACCAACTTGTTGCAGGTCGTTGACTTGCTCGTTGGACAGACCAAGAGCCTGGAAGTCTTGTGCGGGGAACTTTTGGAAGCCTTGCTGGTAGAAGGTACCCTCGAGCCATTCCAAAGTAAGAGCGCTGTGAAGTCCGTATTAGTTCCAACGCCCAACATATGTTGTCCTATTTCGAGTCCCAAACTCACAATTGCAGGATATCAATATCCGTCAATCCAGCAGCCCCAGCTCCAGCCTGTTGCCTCTTGGCGAGATCGTAGATCTTCATCTGGTCGGCGTTCAACTTGGGGCCCAGGGGGGCGGCGGTGGCCACTGCGGCCAGGCAGGCGACGAGAACAGACTTCATTGCGGAAGGCATGGTTGATTAAGATATGTTGTGTGGTTTCAGCTTTGCTCGCCCTAGACTTTCTTTTCCTTTTCGATCGGCTGTTCTCTCGGGACAGAAATTCGGATATAATATTGTTGTCGATCGGTGCCACCTGGGACGGTCGATGAAGCGAAAGATTAGAAAGAGGTATTAAGAATGTCGTCCGAGGGAGTGACAGGGTCGTAGTAGGTCTCGAAGGGAAAGGAAAGTGTAAGCAAAACCGGTGGACCAGGAAAGCAGACCAGCGCTTTTGGAAGTTTGAAGAAATTGACACACAGTGAACGGGATGAAGAGAAAAGAAGAGAAGGGGCGGGAATAGAGCAGTGAAGGTGGGAAACAAGCGAGCAATAAAGAAGGTTCACTTTAGCCTCAGTAAGGTAGGTATCTTGCCGCTCTCCCATGGCGTAAGGTATCTCGCCGCCCACCCACGCATGGCCTTTCTCATGTTCTGCTACTCGGGAGGGGTCGGATCGACTTGGGTCCTTGCTGGGGATTGTCTGCGGCTAGCTTTCTTTCCGTCGTCGGTTCACACGGGAGCCCACAATGCGGGTAACAAGATTACGCTCGACCACAAAGCTTCAGACCCGACAGGGGTACATGGGTACAGTAAGCAGGAGTTTACATCTTATCCGTACTGGGGGAGGAGCCCAGTCCAGGGCAAGCCGCAAGCCGCAACAACTGTAGCGCTTGCCTGGAAGAGCGTGTGTGTGCGCGCACGCGGTGCGTATCATGGAAGACGGGAAGGGGGATCTAGCGGGCAAGCCAAGTCAAGAGGTGGATGGTACCCCTTGCCAATGGCGTCAAGGGGGGTGCATGGTTGGAGAAGATGGTGAAAAGTTCAGATGACAGCGAGGCTTGCCTCGTCCTTCGGAAAGCCCCAGGTACCTTACGAAGTAGGGAACGTCTGTGAGTGGGAAGGAGAATGTGAGTGTGAGTACTCCGTGAACGAGGCAGAGGCGAGACCACGCAGCGTGGGCACTGGTGGGCAGGTGCAGCAGTAAGGGCTACGGAGTACGGAGTACTCTCTGCATGTTTCGTTTCGCTGCGGTCCAAACAAGCTCGACGAATCGGCAGAGACTCGACGGCCCAAAGCACCAATCAGACAACATAAATCATTAAAAAACAGGGGCCAAATAGGAATGGGCAAGGGACTTGATCAACTCCTTAGATTAGGATGAAGCCCGTTTCCAAATGTTGCAGCGACCCCCTGCCGAGCTTGTTTTTGCGCTTCTTTTTTACCCGATGACTTTGTTGTGTAATGCAAGGGTCCTGCGGGCGGTGACCCCACCGGGAGTCCTGGGGGGAGAGAGAAATAGAGGTCCCTGAGTGCCCTCGAGGAGGTCAAGAGGTAAACGTAACTGAAGGCCCCCTCGCTCGCCACTGTTTTGGCATTGCAGCCGAGCCAACTTTGTTGCATCGTGACCCCCAGCCAAGACTAGACGTTGACCCGGGTCACGGACGGGCCGTCGACCGAAACCAATGTGATACGTCTCCCACGTCAGAAACCCCGGTCCGTGAACGCCCGGACCACTCTGTCACTGGCTCCTGCTGCGATTATTGATTGGTCGCCGCCCGGGTGGAGTCACTCCCGGCAGAACCTCGCTGGGCTTAGCGCGGGTACGTACTCGGCCATCTGCAGGAACGTTCTCTCGGTAACGTCTCTTTCCATTGCTTCAATCCTCGCTTTCTGAGCCGCCTTTCTTCAACTTCCCACGCCGGTCTCTTGTTTCCGTCCATCCCACACCGCCGAGGCCAGACAATCACGCACCACTAATCCATTCATCCATCCATCCATCCGACAACTCGCGTTCCTGGGCAAGGCTGCAGGCATGTATTCAACTCACCCGGGCGTCGTATACTGCCGCTATCCTGCGACACGGAGACGATGCTCATTTCCACTGCGATCGACGCCTTTCTGACATTGCCAACTGGGTGATGAAAGATTAAGGACTTCAGATCCTCCTTTCGTCTCTCGCCAAGGGTGTCACGCTCCGTTGGTCTAGGGCCATGATCTGCAAGCCCCGGCTGCCAGAGGTTATCTGTCTTGCATCGTCAATCACAATTCGTGATCTTGACAGCCAGAGCACTGGCCTCGACCGGCCTCCTAGGCGTCCTCTATGGGAGAGCTAGGTAGGTCGTTGGGCTGACTCGAGGGTGTCTAGCTTTCTAATCTGACTAGGCCATGCAAGGAGTTGAGAAACGAATGACCACCAACATGTACTCGTGATCTGGCTTTCTTGGAAACGACCGCAAAGCAACCCCAGATCTAGCCTTTCACCTAGCCTAACGCCATCAAGCTCCTCGCAGCCCACTAGTAAACGGCCATCCCACTCTTGAGGCCTGCTACACGAGGGCGGCTCTGCAACCAAAGCACTGACCTTGTCACTTCATGGACAGCCTGTTTTCCGGCCTGGTCCTAATTCCAAAACGCCTCAATACACTAGCCACTTAAGCTTATCGGCAATGGAACACCTCGAGCTGCCTGCGGGCTGCCTCGGCAGGGACTTAGAGATTCAGTGTTCCTCGAGTGTGTTAACAACATTAGGCTCGGAAATCTTACTCGGCAGCGTCCAATAGCTGGGCCAAAATATGCTCTATAGCCACATCGAACTTCTATCAGGCCATGGCATCCACAACTCGACTTCCGCTCAATCTTCTCCTTTTCTTTCAGTCCATCCCAACGACTCGACACCGGATGGTCGCTAACCACATAGCCAGACCCGTTCTTCCACGGCTCGTTTCGGCAAGCCAAGACCTTGCAGGGCTTGCAAACCGTTTCAAAAGCCTTTGGAGGCTCCAAACCATTCTTTTCGTCCCAACTCGCCATTTGTGAGCAAAGAGAAGGGAACCCATCCCATTTCTCTATTGCCCGGGGAGCCTGTCTGGGTCAACTCGACCAGGCTTTCATTCCGTCTACCCGTGACCCGAGTCGTATGGGAGCCACGACCGCCACGCTCATCATCTCTTTCTTCAAGCCCTTCTCATCACCCATCCCTACTAGCCAGAGAAAAGAAACCTCCGAAAAGCCCGCCCCTTTCGCAAGCACACCCCTGTTATCAACCTTTCGAAACTCGAAGACTGGCCCCGGTTTGCCTTGCTTGAACCAGTACGACATCATGACTCCAGCATCGTTTGCTAGCGTACACCATATGCGCGCGCCTGACACAAACGCAACCCCTTCGTCCTCACCTGTCTACCTCTCTACACTGCGTGTCGGGCGCAAGCCCATTTTGTGGATTATCCCACTCGCCGACTCGTCTTCGGACAGCTGAGCATCCCGTTCAAGCCTTCGGAAACAACTTTTTCTTCTTTGCCCCGCAGCCGTTTGGGCCACGGCATGCTCGGAGAGAAATAGCGAAGCAACTCTCCTCAGGTTCCGGCTTCTCGGTAGGTAGCGCGCTGCGCCTCCAATGCCAATATGTCAAAGGTCTGTGAGCAATGCCTGAAGAAGCAATGTCGGGAGCCCGGAAATGTCAAGCAGCGGTCGACAACGGCTCCGGTCTCTCGATCCTGCGAGCCGGGCTTGGCGAATTCGCATCTTTTCTTATCCAACGGCTTGTCAAAAAAAGATCTCCCACTCTATCTATGTGAAGACGACGATCAAGCCGGGCCATGCTGCTTCAATCCGACGAAAAATTTAGTCTTCCGTCCCTCTCCTCCCCCCATCGCGCCCCTGGCGATCGCCGCGCAGATCTCACAGGACATCAGGTAATCTGAACTTTGGACTCGTTGCAGATCCCCCGTCGTGGAACTCGGAGAGGGGGTCAGGAATACAACCATAACCAGGAGTTTAACACATAAAGGGCCAGGGGTTCCCTCGTCATCGGGGTTATAATGCTTCCATTTCACCCTTTGCTCCCACAAACTTGCGCCGTACGGTCGAATTAGAAACCTTGCCCAAGTTTTCCCTACTCATGCAACCTCGTACGAATCCTTTTTCATGGTCACAAAAGGTCAGGTCCCTGTGAAGACGGGAAGTTTCTCCGTGCCAAGAAGTCCACGATTGCGATGGGACTTGTTGTGCCGCCCTCTGACAGCCCGTCTGTGGCGACGGATGCAGCGCAACTGCAGCGTCGCGCTGCGGAATCTCGTCGAGAGATTCGATACACCTGCGAATAGCATCGTATTCGCGTTTGCGCTAGTGCTGTAAATCGTACCTATGAGGAAATAAACATGAATGTGCAGCTAAGTAATTGCTCAAGCTCTGGACATGGAGATGTTGAAATACCCACTGTCCGAACGGCGGCCTCCTCAACTCCTCCAGAGGGTCGCATTGGATTTTTTCCCTATTCCCGAGCCCATTCAGCGCCTCATCATCCCGTGTCTCCGGTCCACCACCAAAGCCCATCCCACGTCTTCCTTTGTGCAAGGTGTTGTCGTCCCCACACACCCCCGATCACCGGCATAAAGTCATCACGTCAATTTTCCAAACCGGCTCTCTTGTCAACCACCGCAGCTGAAACTCTACCGAAGTTCCTCCCCCTGGAACCCACGCACCACAGGAGTCCAACCCGCTGACTCTGCAACGCGGCGCAAGGGTAGCCCTGCTCGCTCCGCGTGGAAGACGTATAATCTCGCAGTCTGCAGACACCATGCCTCTCCACATGCCTGGCTGACCACTCGCAGCTTTCGAAAGTGTCTGGGCGATCCTTCAGTTTTCAAGACACTGGTTGCGCGTTATAGTGTGTGCAATTGGTGATACCATTTTGACTAACTCATGGGCGCTATCTCTACTATTTCATCCACCGCCCTCCTCTCGACTTCAGACTTCAGGCCTATTGTGCTATATGACTCATCCAGGGACGAAGATATACTGGCTATTACTCCCTTCCCAATCGCAATGCATCATCCCTCTTCTCACCCAAACCTTTTCTACACCACTCATGATGCATCTTAGTCGATGACAAGGCACAATGTGCCCGCCAATCTCTTGGAAACGATCATCACACCGTGTCCCCACACGGGACAGGTAATGTCAAGACAACTCCTTT